TTGAAGATTTTTAAGATTCAAATACTGACAAAACGATCAAAAGTGCTGCTGAAATATGAACAGGATTAAACATTTTTAACCTTCGTATATCATGCAATATCAAAGGTCGAAAGATTTTTTTTTTTTGCAATTTTCGTAAAAGACATTCAAATTCATATCATTTGAATCTCTCTTACTCTTATCGGCAAAAAAAAATAAAAACTTTTATACTGAGATTTATGCATAAAAAATAGCAAAAGTATTTCAACGCGGATCAAATTTGTAAAACTGAAATTTTTTTTTTTTTTGTTGGAAAGTTTGCATATATCGTCATTATCATTTCAAATTTAATAAAAACCAGAGCTCTTAAATTTTAACTCTTGATGAATTTAGAAAAAATCATTACAGTGAAAACGAATATCGCTTAAAACATCTATGAATTACTTGCCGGAATACTTCATGTCATTCATTACCCGTGAGAGTAACGTTCCGTCGCGTTATCATTACGGAAATTGGATGAAAACGAAGACATCACTAATTTCAGTGATATCAAAAATAAGAAATGAAGAATATATTCCAAAATCTGAGAAAAGGTTTGAATTGTTCCGAGATGAAAAACGCATATAATGCAACATATCACTCGTGAAATCTCTGAAAATGACTATTCGTCGTCTGAAATTCTGGATTGAATTAATGGGAAAAAAAAAATGATTTGCAATCCTGTTCTGTCATCCGTAAAAAGTATAATACCGTCAATGACATTCAAAATATAAAACCCACAAATCATAGCCAAAAAAAAAAAACTTGTCAGATGATTCGTATCAATGAAAATAATGCCTATCGTAGCAGTTACATTCTTTTTCCACCTGAAAATTCTTTCATTTACTTTCCTAAGAATTCCTGGAAATGATTTAAAATTAGTAGAGGAATTGAAATACACATAAGTATGCACATAAATATATCAAAAATTAATTAATGTTTTCAATCATTTCTTTTACCAATTAAATTCAATTACTTGCAGTTTTAGCATAATTATAATTTATCACCTTTAATATTTGATTTTGAGATTTTTGTACAACATTTTCAATATTCTGTGTATTGTTTTTGATTTTATACTTTAATTCTAATATTTTAACTGTGCGTTACTGATTAGAAATTAGCAACCCCCGTTATCCTTTCTATTCACTTTTCGATTACTTTCATCATTTCAGGACCGCAATGAAGAAGGATCAGCGTATGTTAAGAAATTGCGTTAACATTTTACTTATCTCTAAAATTTTCATTTGTGCAGCAAAAAAAAAAAAAACTCAAAAGTCATTTTTCTGCATCCGTCGATAGAACAGAAAAGCTCATCAAGAAGGTTTATAAATTAAAAAGTAATTTGTATTTTTAATTATTTCACACCTGAAATACCAGTTCACAATGATTCTGCGACTTATCGAATAGTTTAATTTAAATAGAAACCTCTCATACTTACGGACAGATATTTTTTTCCGGAAAGATGAAAAATTGTTAAGAAACTGTTTTGCCAGTGTTACTTTTAATTTAATTGCAATTTTTGTAAAAGACATTCAAATTCCTACGTATTTTAAATGTTAAAATTGCTTAATGGCCATTCGCTAACAGTATGAAAAAAATGATGCATCCAAAAGAAGAGAGAAACTTAAGGAAAACGCGTATAACCGAAAGGCAAATTCTGGAACTTATCATTTTTTTTTTCAAATGTCTTCAAAAATCGAAATATTTTACTGGAAATTTCACTTTTGCATCTCTCGTAATATGCATATGATTTTATAATTATTTATGTTTATTTGTAAAAAATATTAGATAATACAAAAAGAAATTAAAATAACCTGAACAGACTAAAAAAATATGCATTATTTTTTGAAAACGTAATATTCAATCTGTTTTTCCTAATGATAAATTGACAAATTAGTTCCTTGCAAGGTTCGATTTGTAATTCTTCAGATAAGATTAGAATTTTTCATGAGTTGATAAATGAACTTAAGGAAGCTTTAAATATGCAACATATTGTTTTATGAAATCTCATCATGATTATACTTCGAATACTGTTTTTGCATACTTTGCAGATAAAAATCCCTTAAATTGATCATTTGAATTAAGAAGAATTTCATCGTACCATTTACTCCCTGATATATAATAGAAATTTTTCTTAATCATTTCATAAAGACAAATATCTAATGTTTGAGATGTTGCTAACACTTTATATTTCAGAACATTGCTTTCGCATGTATATAGATATTATGTATATCAAGATGATAATCTAAAACTATCGAAATTTTGCTTTGCCACAAAAAAATCTACTATTTTGAAATATTATTTATTTTGTAACACCATTTATAACGGTTAAATAACCGTCAACATTGAAAAATCAATTTTCTGCGTTCCTGATTGCAACAATTTAAAGAGAAATTCAATTAATTGCAAATACAAAATAAAAAACCAATACAATCACAGACATTTGAATAAAAAAAACGAAAAAAAAACGGATGAATTAGGCTACGAAATGCTTTTTACAGATATTTGAAGACCCTATTCCAAACTTACTTCTGAACTCGATCCTTACTTTCTCTGTCTAGATTATCTATGTTGAACTTCGCCTCTTGCACATTTGATATTTGCTAGGTATATATAAAGGCATATGCGTGTAATACGTGACTAAATGTTTGAATGTAGTATTTCAAATCAGCAAATTGAGATATTAAAATCTTTCATAAATCGAAATGGAAAGCTGCCAATTCCGGTCATCCTATGGAAAAAGTTGCTTAGTTTTTTTGTCAAAAAGGTGCTTAAGACAAAGATTTTTATTTCTATACAATCCAATAGTAAAGTGTGAATAAATGCATCTTGCATGAGGCAAAGGATGATCCACAAATGATTTTCTACAGCCATAAGGTAGAGATTAAGATGGAAATTAAAATTACAAATATTCCTTTCAAAAAAAAAAATCCATCGACCTTGTTTTACTAGAACAAATCAAAAATTGATACCCCTTCATCCAGTAAAAAACCTGTATTTCAGAAACAACAAAGACAACAAAACTAACGAGTGAGCAATGAAAAAATCAATATTTACATTTTTTAACGTGCCAATGAAATGCTATTTGATTTATGGACTTGTAATCGCTTCATTAATCCACATTTGACGATGATCATTGAAAGCTTCAAAAAATAACCCATCACTTCAAATTTTTAAAATACAAATTAGCATTATTAGTCCAAATTCCGATTTTTGCATGTCACACAAATACGAAGCAAGGTTCTACTAACCTTAAATCTATGAAAGCAGGACACAAAAGAAGTGCACTTACTTTTCTCGGTGCCTGAATGAATGAAAGGAGTTATTTGTGACTCTCTTGTCGTTATGTAAATCACGATGCTGAGATTTCCTAAACAATATTTTTTCAAATCCATTTTCAATTTACTATAATATATGTCGTCGTTCGTTATTGTATATACATGAAAAGTTGTGCAGTTTGAGATGATATTCCTGAGATATTACATTTTGTATTTATTCAACTATTATATGCACGGTGTGTATTTTTGAGCAATTGCGAAGATAAGCTACAACTAATAATGGAATTCACATAATATAACTCCATTAAAATAAAAAGATATTGCAATATATTTGAAGGAATTAAGAGGTTTAAGAATATCACCTTTAGCCCGATCATTTAAAACAAATTCAAATTTTACATGGTAAATAGAGACCAATTCGATCGATACCACTGGTATTAGCTATGTATGTGCTTTTGTAGCGATCTTACATTGTTACTTTTTGGCATAGCATACAAAAGATTTTTTAAGAAGTAAGTTAAAGAGTTCAGAATTTCATGCCTATTGAACAACCTGTTTTGAAGACGCGAAATTAGCAAATAACAATGAATTACGAATTACCTATAAGAGTTTTCCAGTGGCAAGGAATGAGTTTGCCAATATCTGAATTCATTTTCATCTCTATCAAAATCTTCGTCTTCAGCGGGTTTTTTTCGTTGTCGTAGATTTAATCTACGATCCCTTGATTGCGGGTAAGATGAAGAGCTCTCGCAGTCTTGATATCTTCTCCTAAATAATGAAGTCCCGAAAACTTGCATAAATTATCTATGAACTTAGATGATTACTTTCTCATCAGCATTATCTTTCTGAATGAGGAACTCTAAACAATCTATGCCTTTTAAAGATAGAAAAAACTTTTAATAATGCTACCTTGGTGAATCATAGTTGTTACTTAGATAAGAACGTTGAGCGACAACATATTCATCTTCTCCACTGTCATCGGAAATATCATCAAAATTTGTACATTCTAAATCATGTAGTCGAGATTCATCTTCTCTGACATGATCACAAGCACCATCAACAAAGCTCGCTAACCTAAAAAACATGTCAAACGAAGCAATAAAAAGTCAAACAGAAAAAGACACCGTCAGTAAATCTACACCGAAACTATCTAACCGCTAACGACTAAAAGACCGTTTGAATCACAACAAAAGTTTATTTACCTCTTTGGATCACTCACTGAAGATGTAATTTTCCAAACATTCGCTTCTGGACTTCGACAGTATCGGCGCAATTCTTCTAATGCTTTCCTAGTTTCTTCTTCACCCTGTTGTTGATATTCTTCCATAGTCAATAAACGCTGACATTTTGGAAATAAAAAAAGCCTGCAAATTCCAAAATTTGATTAGATGCAAACAGAGACTTAAAAATTTGCAAGGATGATACTCCAACTACTGTCCTGCTCACTGCTCATTACTTGGAGCATGAAAATGAGATTTTTCAAGCGTAAGAACATATAGTATACTGAATTGCAAAAAAAAAAAAGTTTACCTCTAGCAGTTTTAATCGGTTATCTATAATGCAGTCAAAAATTTTGTCCATTAATTCTGACAAAAATCTCTTCAAAGCAATTATCTTTACAAAAGAAATTAATTTACTAACCAAACCATTCTGAAAATAGACATGAATTTGGATGTTATATTAATCAACCAATTTTTTAACATCGACCATAGCAGTAACAAAGCAATGACTCCAATAGCAATATCTGTTATCTGAAATAAAAATCAAAGTAATCAATTCAATTACAACAAATGACGAGATCCAGGGAAGGAAAAATAAATTAAATTTAATCAGTACCACTACAAAGATAGCAACTAGTAACTTACTTGACATGATGAATATATCAATATCAAAGCAATCAACTGCAATGTCCACTGCGCAAGATTATGAGATCTGATGTCGGTTGGTGGTCCGTATCGATAACACACCGCAAATGATATCAAAATTACTGTAGCAAAATATGCTGCCACAAATTTCTGATACAGTAAAACCAAAGAAGCAAAATTTTTCCAAACTGTGTAAATAAAGAAGAACGAGAAGGACCAGCCAGTGAACATCAAAGGAATTCCCAACCAACTCTGAAAAGTTTAAAACAACTTTACTGTTTTAATATCCTAATAGCCAGATTATCCTATCAGCGTCTCTTGGTTTATTTAACTAATTTTGAGCTATTTGCTTATCATCTGTAATTGCAATATCGGAGTACAGAGCAAAAATGGTGGGAACAGAAAAGTGCTGCTACACATATTTCTATTTTAAATTCTTTAAAACGAATAAAAATAACACCATAAAAAAAATCTGTGGAAATCATTGGAAATGTTTCCGGAATCACTTCGTAATTCAGAGCTTTCCTTACACACTTGACTCATTCTAAGAAGAGCTTTATTCTCATGATGGCCCTATTATTATATTCATGATAATTGAAAAAAAAGGAAACAGAAAGGAGAATATAATATTGAAAAGTCTCCTTTTCGATATCACATTAGCTGTCTGAAATTTCATGTAAACTGATTAAAACAAACCCTTGGAGTTAACCGGTAAACTACAAATCCAACAATCAAAAGTGATGCTAGAATACCAATCGTGCAACCACTGGTATAATAGAAAATAGCATTTTTCACT